CGAGTCTGTTGGATGCCCAGGTCACCAACCCTTGACCTCTGTCCTCGACCCTTGAATCTCTGACATCTGTCTGCTTTTCCCGCCTTCTCTCCCTCCCCCAGTTCTGTCAAAGGAATTTGATTATGGCGGGGGTAGGAATGTGGTTTCCTAAAGTGATACGTTTGTGAACACTCAAATGCCCTTGAGAAAATGATCACCACGCACTGAACAAGTGTGATACATAAACAGCATGCGTGTAGCAGCTCACAAACTGTATAGTTTGTCAACTGCTACATTTATTTTTTTATTTTTTTCTTATGTGAAACCAAAGCTTTTGCACCTGAAAAAACAACACAGATGTTTTTGGTGTTTTTTTTTTCTTCTTTAATTCTGCTTTGCTTTGTCTGGAAAATAGGTCTGTAGGCTATGACATAACAGCGTACCACAGAAAGCCTTTTTGCATCTCTAGCCAGTGTAGATGGTTGCAGTGGGGGAGGGGAGGAAGACAGTGGGGGTGGTGTTGTACAGTGAGTACACAAGGCTTGCTTTTTCTCTCTACTGCCACAAGCTCATATTTACACACACACACACACACACACACACGCACATACAAATAGTGAAGCCCTCTCCTCCAGACTGACCCAGCCCCCATGCTTCTATTCTCTTTACAGTGTAAATAAAGCAGCAGGGCTTAGAGAACTAAATCCAATATGTCAAAGGACACCGGAGCACAATGAGGTATAGATACCCAACTGGATATTCCCCTTGCTACAGACTGAGCTTTCCACGCGCTTCCCCGGCCTAATAACGACACAACAAGAGTCGTGTGACTCAGAGCACCCTTCCCCCACCCATACATATTACCATTGCTCCTCAGTGCTGTCTAGAAAGGTCATGTGACCCTCATCAGCTTCCCGGGTTGGGGGAGGGGAGGCAGATTGAACCTGTTCTTTGTTAGGAGGTCAGCCCCAGCTCTATGGCAGGAAGCTCTCCTACCACACAGTATGTAATAGAAGTGCAGAAGGCGGCGTGGAGGGTTTACAGTGAGTGACATGAGTCTCTGAGCATGCAGTAGAGAGCAAGCCAACATAGTGCAGTGCTTAGGCTTGCCGGATAAATGCAGTTCCACTGGTTTTTAAAAATGGTACATGGCTGATGTAACAGAAAGAAAAATAACTTTTAGGCCCAGTCTCTGTTTTTATAAGCACAGGCTCAAATGTCTGGATACACTTAATATACGCATGATATTACAACTGCTGCTGTGTGTGGGCAGAGGCAGTGACAGTTCAAGAGTTAACGGCTGGAAAGGGCCAAAACAATTCAAGCTGAAATATTTGGTTATTTAAATACATTAAAGTAAATATGGAGGGGCAGTATTCCTTCATGGGGAACCAACTACAAAGCTGCACAGCAAACCGTAAGAATTTCAGAATCTCTTCTATTTCCAGATGATGTCCTTCTGGCTTCATCAGACTGTAATTGTAGGCAGCTTGCAGCAGGGTGTGACGGGGTTGGGATGAGGATTAGCGTTTTAAATCCCAAGGGTTGTTTTCTAGAAAAAAGGGGAATACTCCATGGGGGTGAAGGGGGGGGCATCCATATTAAGTGAAGGAATTCAGGTATCTTACTTGTAAGTGATGGTAAATGCAGGTAGTGGGATCAGCTGCAGTATAATACAGTCTGTTTATCAGACAATGTTAAGCTATAAAACAAAGCTTTGACTTTACTGCTCAATCTTCATTTCTCAAACTCTACATTGCCACAAGCTTTGAATACTGAGACTGAGAAAATGTTATATTTTACAGAGTAGTGGAAGGCTTTTTATGTACACCCTTAGTGTAATTCCCATTTACAGAGAATGTAAAGATTAACAGAAAAGTCATACTATGACATAAAATCTGCCCGAAGTAAATGCTATTTAGGGAAGTTATAGAATTTGAAATTGTTTTGGAAATTGTCAGAGTTTTATTTAACTTGATGGTAGTTCGGAGGCTGCAGTTTGTATTGTTGAGCACATTTCTTGTTGTGTCTTTAAGTGTTGGGTGTAATCCTAGTTCCTTTTTGCTCATACAGTGTCAACATGTTTGACACATAGTAAGACTTTAACAAGTTGTGACACTCAACCCTCCTTCAGAGCCGACACATTCATAAAGGGTAGTCAGCTGTTTGTTACTCATCTTGAGACAGTGCCTTGCAATTAATAGTTACTTTTTGAATGCCTAGATTCAAACATTGCAAATGTATTTAACAAGGGTAAACTCTAAGTGCAAAACCTCCTATCTGAAAAATGCACTTTTCTGAGAAAAAAAACAAAAAACATGTAGTTTTCTTGCAGAATGCTATCTTTTTAAGGATACTTTAAGGATAGGTTTTAAGGATAGGTGACTTTTCTGTCACAATAAAGGGCAGGATTACCTTGCAGACAGACTGAATATGAGCAGCCATTCTTGTTCTCATCTTCCAAAGTGAAATCCGCCAATCAGTAAATTCTGCTGATAGGAGGTTTTCCACTTTGGCCATCGATATGTGCACTACCACACCAAAGCAGGAATGCTGTATTTAAAGACAGTGCTTCCAATTGACTTCTGAACTAAATTATTATTCAATATGCTATCCAGCAGCCTTATGTGCACCAGTGCCTTTAGCTCCCACACTGTTCCACATCACAGCAAAATTGTGACATAATCTTGAGCACCCTTTGCAGGGCTTTTAAGAATAGAATAAAGGCACTACTAAATGCATAATTTTTACAAAATTTTGAATGATCACCAGCAAAAACAGCCATTCAAGGTTAAACGCTTACGTGATGTCAGGCAAAGTATTGATTGAGCAACACACAGCATGTTTTAAAATGCAGACATAGAGTGAACATATGAATGGAGATAACATTTCTACGTTGTCATTTTCTGGAAATTAGACGCCTTACTTCCTCACTGATATCTATAGAACAATTTACTGTCAAGAAAGGGCTCTGAAACTGTTATTTGGCACGCTGCAGGCCTGAGCTAATATAGCCATTTATCTTCTTTCATCAAACATGGATTTCTCTAGAGAACAGCTCTCTCTGTAGCATATGGCCCCTCAAACATCTGCACATCAGAGACTGACTGACATCTGCATGTCCTCTGTGAACTGTGTTTATTTTTATTGTCTCTCATTCCATATGTAATAGCTGAAGTAGCAAGAATTCTATATTTCTTGACCTGCTTCAAAGATTTTGCGCTTCAGTGGGAATGAAAGGGCTTAGTGCCTGAAGACATGGTAGGAAAGTTGGGAAGATAAGTTAATAAATAAAATTGGCCTTATCCTTTAAGTTCAAATACATCCTCTGTGAACACTACACAGCTTCAGTGTTGGGCTAGGCATAGCTGATGTTGTCATCATGGATGCCATCTTATACTTTGTGAAGTGGTGTTGGTGCCAGAACTGCCTCCGGCTCAATACTAAAGAGATTGTGTTGGACTTTCAAATACCAAAGTATCCCTCTCAAAAAGCCAGTTAACATCAGAAGTCGATGCTTTCCTGGGTACATACATACTTTGATGCTTTCCTCAACATGGCTGAAATGGTTACTATTCTCAATCTAACTACCATTAACGTGTATCCGCCCAATATTCTCTCTGCTGTCTCTAGGCACCAATGCTCCTTGTTGTAATACTAATAGAGAATGCGTGTTGTATGATTGAATATGACTGCACAATATGCATGTTGGGATTGCAACAATAAACTATATTTCATCAGGAAAATGTGTTTTAAATGAATCCAAAATTTTAAATGACCCCATTGGTTTCTAGGCATTATATTAATATCACCACTACCAACCACGTAGTCATATACTGTACCTCTGACCTGTAGAGAGATTACAGCCAGAAGAAGAGTTAGATAATCACTGTGGCCCAAGCTACAAGTAAAAAGGAGTCAGACAGAAAAAAATTCTCAGCTGTTAACTTTATACCTTCTCAAAGGACAAATCACTGTAATAATCCTGTTGTATTCCAACAGGGACTTGCCTTGATGTGCTACTCATTACTGACCTCAAAGACCTCACCACATCTTCCAATATAAAAGGTGGGATAGTGATATCATACATATATATTATTAAAGTCCCACTGACACAAAATTGGAAATTCAATGTCTTAATCTGTAGCTTTTGTCCTATTTACAATCAGAGTTGTAATTTTTCTACCAAACTCTGTTTTTACTTTAAAAAAAAAAAAATCTCGGATAAAACATTACAAGCTGACATTTTCATGCTTTCAGGCTGTGCAACTTAAAGCACACAGCATACGTTGCCACATGGAGCAGCTGTGGCTTTAGCACAACGGAATATGCGGTGCGCACATATTGCCGTGTGTACGGTAACCAAAGGAATGTGTCACACCAGTGTAGAGCCGTAATGATGTCAACTTGTTATTTACTTTCCAAATCTGAATGACTGAGCAAGGCGAAAGGAGAATTAATCAACCGCTGTGTGACCGGGCAGGCGAAAAATAGTGGAGTGTGGGGGAGGGGAAGCGGCTCAGAGGCCGGATAGGCAACATGCTCGACTGTAGCCTGGAGACTCAGCTCCACTGCATGCACTAAAGGCAAAATATCAAAAGTAAAAACACACTTTAGCGCGGTTTTTCGAAAGTGTGCTATTTTAACGGCAGATGTCGAGCGACAGATGTGCTGTTTTGGGGGGTTAAATGCGAGCCACGCTGAGCTCCATTTTAGGTACACATTCAAGGCTCTAGCATAGACATACAGTACAGTAGGTTGTGTGGTGACTGCACCGTTGACAGTGTATGAAACTCTATAGTAACGTTTACCAACTGACATTTTAGCACGTAATTTAGCCAATTAGAGCAGTGAGATACACAAACATTAGTTCATAAATCAATTAATATTAAAGCTGGATGCTGGGTTGTGTTTTTATTATTCAGGTTTAAGGTCAGTCAGCCTTTATCTCCCCCCCAACCACTACCACCACCCCCTCTCTCTCTCTCTCTCTCTCTCTCTCTCTCCCATTCTCTGTCTACGTCTCTCTCCCGCTGCCGACCAGCGCCTGCTGCTGTCTCTTTATGTTACTGTTCTCAGTGAACGGTGAAACTCCTCAGAGTAGCCTGCAGCCTTCAGCCACAGAAACTCGGGTGTTTTTTTTTTCTCTCTCCCTTCTTCCCCCCCTTTTCCAACTTTACCGCCAGTTGTGAGTGTCTCTGAGCGAATACGCTTTTGTTAACGCACCAAATTAGCCGACAGTGAGTCATACGAGGCAGCAGCGGCGGTCGGAACTTGAAATATGACGATAAGCAAAATGGGAGGAAAGTCGTTGCTAGCTCACTGAAGTTGGAGGTTTCTCCTTGTGGAAGAGGTGGCGGCGGCGGACACCACGAGTTCACTCTCACAATAAAAGGTAAGCCAGTTTAAAAAAAAAAAAAAAAAAAAGTCTGAGTGGCATGGTTTTAGGTTGCACTGCATTCCGGTTGCCCCCCTGTGTGTGTTTGTGTGTGTGGATATGTGCGAAGAGGTTAATGACTTTGAGAAATTGGTGATTATGGCGTTGATTATGAGGTTGCCGGCACATAGCTTAGTCACCCCCTTTCGCTCCACACGTGTGTTGAAATTCCTGCTTCTGTTTTTCAGTTTCCTCTCTATCAGTGTTTGTTAGTCCAACAACATACTTTTCTTATACTGCGTTTTTTTTGTTGTTGTGGCTGCTTTCTCTCTCCACACACACTCACATCAAACCATAGTAGCTGAGCTGTGGACTACTACTAAGTTTTTAGAGGCTGAAGGTTGTCCCATTTCGGTGTATTATTAGGATTTTTTACTTTGCCCATAATAGCGCAGTAAAAAATATAAAACTTTCGCCACATTAAGTTGCACCAGTCATTTTTGTTTAATGATATGATACACAATTATAATGCCATGCAGACTTACTTAAGCACATGAGTGGGGGGGTGGAGGACATTAAACAGCCTCCACTCTTTCAAGGGACAGTTCATGTTACTGTACAGCTACAATGTTAAAGCTGTTTCCTGACTCTGTGTCAGTTGTAGCTGTCCTAAAGCACTGTAGATGTACCAGTATATCAAAAGAAAACCTTTAAATATATGAAGCTTAAAGACATGGTGATTTCACATTTCCATTAAGTAATGTAGTGTGACCTATATATTCTCCTTATGTTCCAGTTAGTTGTCCTGGCTGTGGTTCATTGACTAATGGCATACAGCATGTACAGACACAGTTAAGATGTCTCACCTATCCTCTGAGCATCAAAGTGTTCATTATCTCTATGAAAGAAAGACACGAGAAGGATCGGGATGAGAATATCAGCTGAAACCACACTGCTGTTTGAATGCTGTCTTAACCTGATTCTACTTCAGTGGCCCAAATCATAGATGGCCCCATTTTCTTGTTGACTTAGTGGCTGTTGTATATGTTGTTGTTTTTCACTATATCAGTCAATGTTTGGCTCCTAAAATTAGATTAGAGGTATTTTAACAAAGAAGTTGTGGAGAACATCTTTGTTGAGATGATACTGGACTTGATTTGACTTTTATTTTTTTTAATAGTAAGCCATTGGCCATTTTCTGGATTACACTTCTTAACTAATGTGAATGAGATAGCACAACTATTGTGTTCATAGGATTAATATAGTAATTAATATGTAAAATAATTAATAATCGCTGTTATGTTAATTGTTCTTAAACATTTGAACGCAACCCACGTAGCCTCATCCTAGATTACGGTGTCAAATCCTGATGACTGCAGACTTCAGCGATCCTACATTCTTCATACCACATCTTTCTTCTCACCAAACCTCTCAGGTTTGATTATCATGATTATTGTTGTTGACATCTAGCTGTTTTCTCCATTTGACGTTAATGAAGAGAGAGTCTAGTTTATTGAGGCCACAGAGCGTGATATTGAGCCCCCTGGAGTACAGGGAATGGCCTGTAGCACGTTCACACTGTGTATTTAGCCTTTTCTCAAATCTTTTGAAAATCAACTTGAATTGTCATTAATTAAACACGCTTGAACAGTTAATCAAATTTTGAATAAAACAACGCTTTTCTATCCTGTAATGTTCAGCGATTTAAATACAACTATAGATGATAGTATAGATATAGATTCAAGGTAACAAAATGAGTTTGGTTTGATGTGATGCATGAAAGTGTGATCATCTTATGCAGTTTGTCTTACATTTTCCCTATTTTAATATGCATTTCAATTGCAAACCTAACAGTGTGATATTGATTTCAACCATATTGCCTTGGCCTACCAGTCTATTTACCGCTTTTCTTACCAGAGTTAAGGACTTGTAGGCAGCCCTAATTGCAGTGGTAACAAAAACAGGTTTAGTGCCACCTATTTAAAGAACAATAGGAGTTTAACTATGTCTTAATTACATGTTTCAGACCACTTAACGTTTTCCATTTATTGATCCCTAAATATGTTAGAGTCAGTGTCTGCTACATCCTTACTATCTCTGATTGGTAGCTCATTTTTACAACGTGAGTAAATGTAAATTTTTTCAATGCTACATAGGCGTTTGAATCACTCCTAGTCAGCATTTTGTTCATTTGTTGTTTCAGGAGGTGGACACAGTTACCTTTGTACTGAGTCCTCGCAGCACATAAATGAATAATGTTGTTGCCCTACAGGTTATTGTTTATCTGCCTCTTGTTCAGTGAAAGGAATTGACAGGAGACTTATTGTCTTTGCTTTCAGTGCTGTATGTGGTCTCAGGAACAATATGTGAAGAACCATAATTCACTCATCTGATGGCTTCTAGTCAATCCTAATTTTGCTCTACATTGATTTTTGATAAGCTGTTCAAATGTAACTCGTAAGGACTCAGTGGGTTGAGAAACAGAAGAGACAGCAAATCCAAGGTACATTGTGTGTTCAAAACAGAAATGTATCCTCTGCTCATAAGTAGGGCAAGGAAGTCCCTGAGAAAGCCTATGTCAGCCTTGTGGTGCTGTAAAGCTCTGTGTCGGGCTGTCCAAATATTTCTGTAGCAGTATTTATTTATGATAGGCCATGGGGGGAGGTGAGCCATTCTCTCCCTCCAAAAGAGACATACAGTGTGCATGGGCTACCAGCCAACTGGCAGACCAGTGGTTACTCTGAAAGAACGCCCATACAAGCACTGGCTAGTTCAAGGCTTTAGTTATTTATTTGGACTTATTTTGGATTTGTTTATCGTCGTGTGAACTTGTGTCTGTTGTGCCTCGACTCTGCCCGTGTGTATTTAAATTAAAGTAAGTGGGAGGAAGTCACATGCCTCTCAGGGTGTGTTAAATGTTCAACTGTCTAGTAGCTCATCAGTTTCTATTTCTATTGTGTCTGGACACGTCATACCTAATGATTCAGTGGCCTTTAAAAGACTTGTGTTTTTAATGGCACATGTTAACTTTTTAGTTCACACTTATCTGTGTTTGCTTATGCTCAGTCAATAGATAGACAAATATTTTCCAAGGTTAGTCTACAAACAGGTATTCTATTATCTTAATGTTGACTACAAGTAATGGAAAAGGGAGGTGTTTGGAGCACGATTATTGCGGATGGATGAATGTTAAGGAAGTTGTGCAAGCACATGTATGCTAGGCTGAGAAACCTCTTTACTGAAAGGGAATAATGTTTTGTTCACTTTCACCCCTTCCTGATTGAGCACTTGATAATGCAGTTGGTCATGTTTTTGTACTGAGGATTGAATCAGAAGAGTTTTATATCCATATAAGCCATGGAAGTGCGCCATCTGTCAGTCGCCTAACACGGCCTTTGGAGAAAATGAATGGGACCTACTCCGAAATTCCACAGGGCACGGCTTTATAACTTTGCGGCTGCAATGCGGTTTGGCTCTGTGATCCCCAATGCCTTCAGAGCGTGTGGCCTGCCCGACACTGTTTACTTGTGTATTTTGTCCTTAAAAAAGACACAAAACTATGTGTTTTTCTGCTTAAAAACTCCTCTAACCTACATCTGACTGTTTGACTTCTGGCCTGGTGCCACGATGTTGATCTGGCGTGAAATTCGATCCAGAGTCTGCATGCAGTATTTTATTTTGAAAACTGACTCTATGTTGTTTCTGTCTGACTTCCTGCCAGTGCGATCTGCTCTGTGCGCCGCCACACTTCTGGTGGAATTTAGAGCATTGCCTAGAACGGGTGCGATCAGCTCAGCTGGCACAGCACACACGTGTGTGAATATATCAATAATTGCCAATTGTTGGACTGACAGTGGCGAGTTGGAACAATTTAACATATCGCCCAACCCTATTGTGCATTATCACCATATTTAAACAATTCTTACATATTACATTTCTATGATGGCCTGCTTTTCAACGCCTTCCATATTCGAGTGTAGCTTTTAAAATATTTGGCCTGTGAAGTGGTCGGGCGACACGTCTTACGAACCAGTTCTTTATTACCATACCGCTGCCGGCTCTGAAATATCTTTGTTTGAATTAGGCTAATCAATGAGCAGGACTGAATCACGGCGCTATTGGATTTACAGGATTAATATGATGAAGTACCTTGGTATTTTATTCATTGGGTCAGCACTGGTTGTATTATCCATCATTTTTAAATTGTTGTATAGGATGGAAAGCTACACCTTCATGCATCATTGCATGATAATAAAATGACATTAAATGGCAGACCCACACTTGGAAGGCAGTAAATCTCCCACCCTTTGCACAGTGAACTCCAGCTATTTCCTTCTGGACGAAGGTTTATAGTCCCGTGGTGTAGAACAAAGTGATATAAAAATAGCTTTGTTCCAGGAGCCATCACTCAGATGAACAAGTCCTGGCAACACTGCAAAGATGCCCACAGTAGCAGCGTTTATTTTATTAATTTTAACGTTTTTAAGTGTAATTTTTCTCGTCTTTGGTCTTTGATTATTGGAGCCTTGAGTACTTAAATCATATTTGTCTATTGTTGGTGTTGGGGTGAAATGTGTCTCAAGATAGATGCCTTGTCTACTGCAAACAGAATATTTCTAGAAGGACAAAAAAATAACCTTAACCTCAATTTCCTCTGAAAGGTATGGAAGACATTAGTTAGTTTTTTGTGGAGTTGTGTTATTGATGTACTCGTATGTTATCTGTGTAGCTTTGGCCAGGCAGCCAGTGGTAGGAGTATGTTGTTTCAGGAAATCTGTGAATTGCGGCTTTGAGCACACTGCTACAGAAAACGAAACGACCATCTGTAGACTGCCAGTGAAAGTTTCATGTTCGCTGCTGCATAGTTTTTTTTTTTTTTTCGTAATTTCCCATTCCTGGTAGTTTGAAATGTGTCAAATGTCAAACCACAGTCTGGCCCTACAAGTGATCGACATGTGGGTGTACCGAAAGACTAGCATAATCTTTTCTTTCTTTATCAGGGTCCTGTGAAATCTAAC